CTCACACACACACACACACACACACATACAAAAAAAAAAAAGAAAAAAAAAAAAGAAGAAGTGCGGCCAAAACGAGGTGCTCCGGATTCATAGGTCCTGGGTTTGTCATTATTGATACTCACTTTCTTTTGTACTCATTGCTATTGCCTTTTAACGAGTTAATTGTCATCCCGTGGACGGCGGTGGCACCCCGTTGGCCCAACACTCTGTGTAGCGATTGTCGTCGCACCGAGCGTTATCAGAAAAAGGGGTTCCAATACCAGACACGTGGCGAAGACAAACACAAGGAAAGAGCAACCAGGCTGAGGCCCTCCACGTCGGATTCCGAGTTCTGTAATGAACGGCGCCGGGACTTGATTCAAAAAAAAGATCTCATGTGCATACCCCCGCCTTTCCATTCGAAAAGACATCAAGTAGCCCGCATGGAGGTTCAGAGATACTTTTTGGAATAAACCGCCACTCCCCTCGACAGTCGGGCAGTCGTTGATGCTTAGCCACCTCAGGGTATCAGTTGTCGGGCAGTCTTTGATGCTTAACCACAGCCGGGGTGAAGGTAGATTATCGCTTACAGTATCATCATCGATTAGGGGACTCTGCAAGCTGTAGAGGGTTCAGCCTCCTGACTAGTTGGTGAGACTCCAACAAGGCAGTCTGTCACAGCCCCTCATTTGTTGTCCTCTTCTCCTCTCTGCCTACGGGTTACTGGGCAGTTCTGTTTGATGACAATATATACATTTAGGGAGTCACAAGGCTGATTGGGTGGGAGAGGAAGGGGGAACCGCTCGGCACATCACACATAATTTGCATGACTTAGAAATCAGTAGATAAAAATTGTCATTTCCAGGGTTGCCAGGCCGAACGTACGGAGGCCCCTAAGCTGACCCCCGAACGTTCGGGTGTTCGGGTCCCCGTACGGGGCCCGAACCTGAAAGGGTTCGGACCCCGCAAAAATATATTTTGGCACCTAAATATTTTTATGTTTTTCTAAACTTTTTTGTGTAAGTTCTTTGTGATGTAAGGTATCTCCCTGTTAATTTTGAAGCCATTCTGTTTATCCAAAAAAACATGAAAAATCGGCAAAGATGGTGGTGTCAAAACTTGCTTGCCCACTCGCTAATTTGTTTTTTCTCTCTTCTGACTTTTTGTTTTTCCTTTATTTCGGGGCATGAAAAAAAATATTTTTCAAATTTTATTTGTAAATTCTTTATTATGTAAGTTACAGATATATAAATTTTCATGGCATTTGTCACAGCCAAAAAAAACGAAAAATTGCCAAAGATGGCGGTGTCAAAAACGTGCTGGCCCACTCAATAATTTCATTCTCGTTTGTTTTTCCCTTATTTTTATCATTATTATTTAATATTTATTTTTAATAGTTGATTTTTATTTCAAATTTGGCAAAGAATTTGGGTGTAACGGTGAGGCGAATGTTGTTTAGTTTATTCTTATGCATAACATATATTTTTTTCAGATTTTTTGAAGTTTCTTTTTTTTTTTTTTTTTTTTTTTTTTTTTTTTGGGTCCGCGTTCGGCCGAACGGCCGAACGTGTCGAGAGGGGGTCCCCAACGTTCGGGCGTTCGGCCCGTCCCGAACGTCGGCAACCCTGGTCATTTCTATATTTAGAATAAGCCAAGCTATAGCATTGACTACGTACCCATCTATTATAAAAAAAAAAAACAAAGGGTTTCAACTTTCAAGCCACCAAGACATTTCCCAAGCATTTGCCTGTGAAAGGCATTGGGTGGTTCAAGCTACGAGTACATTTCCCAGGCATTTTCTTTTGCCATGCCATGGTCAGCGCCGCGACCTCCAGTGGTCAGGGCCGCCATTGGCTGAAAATATTTTGTCACCTACTCTGAAAAGTTCGCGCCTCGGGTGGCTGGCGGTTTGGCCAAGCTTGGCGAGCAGTGGAGTGCCTCCAGGCCTGGGTGTACTGGTTGTTCAGGTTTCTTAATGGTCATAACAATAAAACTCTCACACCATTCGAACCAAACTTGCCACCTCTACGATTGGAGGCAAGCTTGGTGAAAAGTTAAAACAAAAAATAAAAATAAAGAGAGGTGAAAAAAAAAACTCTCACACCTTCTGAACCAAACCTTTCACCAAAATGCCCTTTTCAGTGCTTGGGGGGTTAACCTATGGGCTGAAAAGTGGGGGTCCCTGTTAACCACTTTTGCGGGGTAGCCATCCTTCTTGATTTTTTATTTATTTATTTTTCAAAAGAAACAAGCTCCGATCTATTCATGGGGAGCATCATGTGCTGAGAACCGGGCTCGACTTCCCTTATGAAGGTTTACATGAAAATGTTTCGACTCTTGAGGTATGGCTGGAAACCGGGTCCAGCGTCCCATCTATCCCAAGGCCTAAGGCCAATCCCTATCCGAGAGCGAGGATGAGACCACTTGGGGGCACCAGTGGGCCCTTCCTTCTCCCTGCTCACCTCCGAAGCCACTACCTTTCTGTACTGCAACACATGCTGAGAACTGCACTATCCTTTCTGGCTAGCATCACCTGCTGGGAATCGGGCCCAGCATCCCATTAAGAAAAAAATAAAATTCTGAAACACATTAGATGGTACTTGAGAACTCCTGAGACCATAAACCGGCTTGAAAGTACACTGCAACCTCTAAAGACAACGGGTGTGGCGGGAACGTATCGGGAAACTCCTCTGCTGGTCTCAGGGGGATGTTGGGGTCGATGGTCATCCAGTCTTGAACACTAATCGATAATCCCGGGGAACCTCCCTCTGCAGGTCCTCTCCGGCCCTCTCACCCCCTCCTCTCCCTCCCTGCCCTGTCTCCCTGCCCCCTGTGTCCTGACCATCGTACCCCACCCCCCCCCAATCCCCACCCAACCAATCCCTAGAGTACGGTGTGATTCTCTCCGAGATGTCCTTAGCTCTGCGGAGGGAATCCAGGACCTGTTTAGTTGTTTCCCACTGTCTGGCAAGCTCCAGTTAAAATGATGTTTGAACTTTGAACTAAGCCTTTCCTCTCCCTCCACCCTGACTTGTTCTATCGCTAGGAAGCAATGCTGCCACCATGGGATGGCGCACACAGGACAGTTTGCCTCCCCAGGTGGAACATGTTTCGTTCGAAAGTATTTCCTTGAAAAGCTGGGTAATGCCCCAATAAGAGTGCCCTCCAGTCCCAAGGCCACGGTGATCCGGGACCATCTGCCTCCAGATTCTGTCCCACCAACGCCATGTCAATACCGCAGCCGGGTATTGTAGGAAGATGTGCTCAATCGTCTCCTCTCTCTTCCGTTCCAGGAAGCTCGTCACACAGCGCGGACACCATGGGAGGGCACGGGCCTGTTGCTCAACCCTCTGCATACTGTTCTTTTGATTGCTCCAGTAACTCCAGTTCTTTCGTTTGCACATTATGTCCTCCACGAGAGTAAAGCATCACATGATGTGCTACCTTTTTTTTTTAACTTTTTTTTTGTTTTGTTTTTTTTAAAGAAGACAAGCCCCATGATGTGCTATTTTTTTTTTGACATGAAACATATAAAGTTTGTAAATTTTGTAAAGTTTGTAAACATATTTTGATTTCAAAGGCATTCATGGTCATATATCTGCGTGAGTCTGTGCACTGCATTTGAGTTGACTCATTGTATGTCCTTCTCTCTTCATGTTATTGATAACATCAATCACTTCTTTTTCTTCTTGGTATTCTTGTTTGTTTGTTTCTTTTGTTTGCTTGTTTGTTTGTTTGTGTGTAACTGCTTTTATCTTTAAAAGATACACTAACAATCCTGATCTTGAGCCAAGCAAAATTCTGGTGGTATCGAAGGCGGCATACGGAATGTCGTCTTGGATAAGAGCGATGGAAGCCTACGATCGCGTCACACGAGTTGTCGCGCCAAAGAAAGCAGCTTTATTGGTTGCAGAGGCAGAATATGAAGCTATCATGGCGAATCTTAAAAGCAAGCAAGAAAAGCTGCAGACGGTGAAATAAGTCTAACAAAGCCCTTTTTTTCCTTGTTTGTTTTTCCTTGTTTGTTTTTCCTTGTTTTTTTTTCCTTTTTTTTTCTGTTTAAATCACTAGTCCACACGAACCTAAGTTGTGCTCTTACCGGTATACGCAGTAAGAGCACTTGGCTTCGAGCCTGGCCTGGTAGTGAAAGCAGCAGGCCACTTTGAAAAGGCGCAGTTTGCAGGCTTGCGAGCCTTGGAAGGCAGCTTAAGTTTGTGAACTGAGGGGCTCCTGTGAACTGTTGCTTCAAAGCTAGGCATAAACCTTCCTATGTATCATTGTATCATTTTCACTCGTGGTTAATAGGTGGTGTCATTTTCTGAGATTTGAACGAATTTCATGAGTGTCAGCAACCTGCCCCAGTCCTGGTCCCAAGGTTCCAAGTCCCATGCACCATAAAGTTACAGTATGGAGGAGGGAATGTGAGGCTCAAGGCCTCAGTAAACGCTTTCGGGCCTGTTCAGCAACTAAGGCCGCCCTAAGTGAAGGCGGGCCTGACTAGTTACGTGAGACGTATTTTTGTGTTTTTCCCAACTGGGGAAAATCAGACAGTTAACACAGCGTCAGTTCGCAGCCAGGAGGCTGTGCTTGTGTGGGTTCCATTTTCGTCGTTTCATTTCTATCTATTTTCGGTAAGGTCGTGCAGTGCAGCTTCGCTAGGACGGGTTCGTTTGGGGTCTCCGACAGCAGAAAATAGGGTCCAGTCGCAGTTGTCCCTAAGACCAGTTGTAGGGCAGGTTATCTTGTCAAGGTCGTTGCAATTTAGTATAGGGCGCCGTCCATTGTTTCTCTTTTGAGGGAGTTTTTTCCCGTTGCAAACTGGGGGCGGGCGATATGGGTCTGGGTCGTTTCCACGTTTGTTTTTCTACTCTTCTACTACATCTTCCCAGAAATACAGTATCGAAGCATTCTGCTGTTTACTACGACCAAGTCACTAAATCTAGAACGGACTGCCCTGCCTCGTTGGCAGAGCTTACTAAGAAAAGAAAAGAAAAAGAAAACGTACTGAGGGCACACTCACACTGGCAGGGATCACTATGCTCTCATGTTAGTCTGTTATCATCACTCTCAGTTCTTTGTACAGGGACGCTGGACCCGTTTTCCAGCAGGTGTAGCTCCCCACCAATAGATGGAGCCTCCCCGACAGTGCTAGCGGTGTCTGCTCTTATCAGCACCTCTAGCAACCGATCGGATTGTTTCCAAGAAAAAAAAAAAAAAAAAGGGCACACTCACACTACCACGTATTTTTGCAAAATCGCAAATTTTATGTAGTTTTTCGGGTCACACAAAGCACGTATTTTGCGTGTTCACACAAAAGGGCACGTAAATGTTAGCGGCCTGGACAGCCGCGGGCTTAGATATTCGTATTTCTTTTTCCTCTACTGCTTTCTGCAAGCAAAAAAAAAAAGAAAAAAGTGCATTGTGCTGTCTGACTGCAGGCAACGTATTTTTGCATCTCAAGGCCAGGTCGCGACCCTGTCTTTTCTGCTTTGGGCAACAAACGGGTGACCAGTGTGACCCGCAGGTGCCATATAAACGCAAATTCACATACGTAAAATTTGCGGAAGTACGTGCTAGTGTGAGTATGCCCTGACTTTCGGAAAAAAAAGGAAGAAAAAACGTACTTAGGGTCTGATCCCACCATACTTGCAGCACACCGACGAGCGCTGCACCACGCACACGTGCCGCACTGTGCACAGCGCACGGGGTGCGGCGCACCCCAAAAATAAGGGGTCGAGAAAAAAAAAAAAGTTGGGAAGGGGTGTTTTAGACCCGAGTGGAATGTCGCATCATAAACCACAAAAAAATATTAACAAAAATTTGAGGCCGCGCGGGGCCTCCGAAAAAAAAAGGGGGGAAGTTCGTTTTTTTGTTTGCTTGTGTGTGTGTTATGCTTCTATTGCGAGGCTCGTGCGACAATGTCACAACACGCTGCGTCCTGATTTGTGTTTTTTATGAACAACACTCGAAAAGTTTTGCATTACAACCAGGAGATTGCAAAGAGTGATGGTGGAAGATTGACACCAGAACAAGCAAAGGCAGAAAACGTCCCATAGCCATACTGCGGAATGTTCACGAGACAGGTACACACTCAAACACCAAGGCATAGCTGCAAGCACAAAAAATGATCAACCCATTCCTACCGAACTGCTTTAGCCGTTAGGACAAGAGCAATCACCGGGAAGGGATTACCATACAAAGCATCGAAAACTCCCAGAACAATCAGATCCACTGGGAGACCCTTGCAGCAGTTAGATAGAATTTTCCTTCTCCACAAGACGCAAGGAGATGCACAACACTGCCTCACCACGACGTCATTAGAAGTCGTAAACAGGGTGAACACTGAAACCTTGAAAAAACTCGACGTGACAAATTCAAATCAAACACCGATACTCATCGCCATCGTAAACAACCGCTAACTGGCACTAATCCAAGAAGCGAGGGTGCAATAGGCCTCGTCACCTCCTACCCACACGAGGGTCACGGAATCAAGACTAAGTAAAGCACGCTAACCCCTTAGCTCCGCCATATTTAGAGATGACCTGCAGCCAACCGAGGGCAAAACATCACTACATCCATGAAGTATACAGGATCCGGTATCCAAACCTGCAGAATACACAACCGGGCTCCATACTCCCTCCATAGCATATGGAGCAGATACCCAACCATCCCACCGGAAGGATCATCAGGCGTCACACCTGATTAAACAAGCCAAACTGGACCCCGCCTCCGGGGGACACGCGAACCCTCCATCCTACCACCAAGCGCTATCACCCGACGAATTCAAACCTGAAGATCATACCAAGCACGGGAAGTCCCCTCCGAAAGAAACCCAGCCGCCACAGCAGTATTCATAACAAGAAAAAAGTACTCCATAACGAAATTCACAACGCCGTAACCACGCAGGGCTCATACGAGACTCCCAGTCGACCCAGCGTCAAAAGCAGTATGCCATCCCAGTCACACGCCACCGGAGATGCACCTACGATCAATCAACACATCCGTGAAGAGACATAGTACCAAGCCCATCTCCTCACCACGCCGGACGTCAAAACTCATACAATACTCCGCACTGCCCCGCCGAAACCCTGGGATATACACGACGGCAATAGAGAGTTCACCCTCCAATCCTAATGCATAACCTTAACCCGATCCACCTCGAAACACAAGGGCAGCGTAACTAACACGAATCCCAGCTCACCCAAACGACCCCCCCACAGTAAACAGGCACTCCGAGAAGCACCAGCCTCCATAGCACCCAGGCGGTCCTCCATCCGGCACCCTCATCGAAGTTCGATACTCACAGCAGCAGATCCACAAAAATCCAAGCTCCTATTCGTGCGCAAAGTGAACCCCAATCCCGACCATTCCAATACACCACCACCACGGCGCCATACTCCCCGAAAAATCAGAACAGCACCATTAGTAGGGGATGCAAAGCCTCCTGCCAACTTGAAATACAATGGTCCAAGGGAGGGATCCACGGGGGACCATGGCAATCATTCGGGAATATACAGACAGTAGGGGATGAGGAACGCCATAGTAGCATCACCAAAAACGACACTAGAACCCCACCGCCTTGAAGAGCCAACCAAAATGCTAACCCAAAAAGGCTCAAAATACATGGAAGGGGAGGACTCGCCGGACAGACAGACAATGGGAGGGAGCAAGCCAGCCACGTGGCACGGCATAGTGCACCAAGAGAGAGGAGGGAAAGGACGATGGAGAAAAGGAGGGAAATCCTGAAAGGTGCGGTGAGAAGGAACGGGGAAAACCCAGAGACTGCCATAATGTCCATTCGAACGGGGGATGATCCACACCCGAAGCACCGTCGCTAAGTACAGAAGCGATCGCCAGGCCCTACACCACCTCGTGGAAAACGGGGAAGACGAGTTACGACATCCACCACCGAGCTGAGCCGAACGAATGACTTGCAGTTCCAAAAATAATAAGAAGGCCAAGTACGCCATGAACGCAATCAAAAAGATGAGGGCAACGTGGGCAGCCGCCAACAGCTCCTGTGAAACCACGCGTTCATTGAACGCGGGTTTTCCGTTCAGAAATTGAACGGAATGCACGCGCGTTCAATGAACGGGACCGAACGCGGAGTTCAATTCCGCGCGGGGAAAAAAAAAAAAAAAAAAAAACCTCAAAAAATTCCGAAAACAAAATATGTTATGAAGAAAACTAAAATAAATAACATTTGCATGAGCATAAGATCTAAATTCGTTACCAAATTGGGAAAAAAAAAATAGAAAACAGAAAAAAATGAAGTAAAAAAAGAATTGAAATTAGTGAGCGAACACGATTTGACACCGCCATCTTTGGCGATTTTTCGTTTTTTTTTGCCTTAGCAAAATGACTCCAAAATTGAGAGGCATGTACCTCACATCACACAGAACTCATAAAAAAAAAAATTATTCTTAGGCATTAAAATATATATTTAAAAAAAAAAAAATAAAAAAAAAATTGAACGCCGTTCAATTTTGAACGCGAACGCGCAATCCGCGTTCAAATGCACATTTGAACGCGAACGCGCGTTCACGGCGTTCAAACGGTTACACAAAACAGCTCCATCTCCACAGACTCTCAGCAATCAAAGCTTTTAAAACTTCAACGACGATGCGTACAATAAAGCCTACGAAGGAAGCCATCACAACACCACAAGGAACAATCCACAGCCGATCATAACAATACAATGCACAAACAACGTGTCGGGAGGGGCAGACCACGTTAGCAGGCAACTATAAAAAGCGGGGAGAAGAAAACACGGGGAAAGGGGATAAAATAGGAATAGAGATAGAAATCCCAATTAGTCAAATGGCCCCAATGTGCCAACGCATGACAAGAGGGCGGTGGAACACGTCCTAAAGTACTTTTCACCGATTTCCACCTCGCCGGATCTTCAGAGAACTAAGCCTCCCTCATAGCATACCGAAAGGGACAGGAATCTCCATGGCCATGACCCAGAT